ATCTGTCAGCCAGGGCAACAAAACCAATCTCCGATCATCTTGTCATTTTCTTGCCAGCGGTAAATGAGCGAGGGGGCTGCAGCAGATGATGCGCAACTTTACCCCAGTCTAAGCTACTTTACGTGCTCCGTGCGACACATTTGCGGCGGTCGAACTGCCACGAACTCTTTAAGAAAATCCACATTCAATTGATGGAATCGGCCTCACATAATCCAACCTGGAACAGCAGTAAAATCGGGTCTACTCGCTAGCAGGTTACCCTGAGAAACGATAACTAGTCGCCGGTTTCAATGACCACCATCTACTTCCTTGATCGGAGCACTGGAATACCTCTAATTCTGCAAGATCTCCCTATTTAATGACCTAGTAGGGTACTTGGAATATGAAGAAAGAGGCAGACGAAATATGAAAGGATAATAGGTGGAGGAGGGGCGGGGGGGCGATTTCTTCTGTTTTCGCCACCATGTCGGTGGACTCTGCAATCGACGAGGGAGTACCATGACAGCATCTCCGACCTCTCGGTAATGATTTCGTGAACTCCACAATTCCCTCCTCTTTTCGATCCTAAGCGTACTGATGATGCCAGAGATGGCGTCCTCTGTCTGGTCACCCTGACGGATGCTACTGTAGCTAGTCGTATTTTGAGACGGTGTCCAAATTAAGCCCCAGGTTTTATACAATTTCTCCCACGACGAGGAGTGTTTCGAAACCTCACACCTTCTCTTCAGCATGACAGTCCTGTCTCACGCGTATATTTTCCTCTCAGAAGCGGCAGTGCTTTCCTCCTTTAAAGCCCACAAATCCCAGTAAAACTTCTATATTTTCGTTTCGTCTATCTCTACGGATGTGGCACACTCCCTTATATTTCATGTTACAATTTTTTATTCAACTACTTTCATAGAAAGAATAAGGGAGCTCGAAGTTACACAACTACGGCTCCCTCAAATCAACTGAACTGAACTGATGAGGGGGGGGGGAAACATAGCAGTAAGATGTCGACTACTACACCTACATTGTTAGTTTTAAAGAGAGCATACTTTGGCAATGCTGCACCTTTAGAACTCACCTTTAACATTAACGTGGACAAATTTGTGATCATCTCGTCCCGACTCTGTGATGACTGAACACACGTAGAGTCCAGCATCACGTGGCGAGGCACTTCGTAGCACCAGGCGGCTTTTCTTGGAGCCCGGATTACTGACGGCCAGGGGCTTCGAGACGTCGAACAGCTTCTGTAGATCCTGCGGCAGGATGGTCGGCAGGACTACGTAGGTACCTCCTGACCAGTGAAGAAGTTCATTCTTGCGGAATTCGCTGGTATCGGCCTCGCCCGGCGAGATGTACTTCCCCCACTAGAAGCCGAGAAAGCGTTTTACCATAATGGTCCAGAAGGTATAGACAAGTCAATAAATCCCCTCCTAGCGTGTTCTCGTGCAGATTTCGCATTTTGTGTATACATTTAGACAAGGGAAAAAAACGTCATATTAGGTACGCGGGGAGGAATAATAAGCTGCGTTGAAACAGCTCTTTGATTGCAGGCTCGCTGTGACCTCGAATTTCGCTTGCGCGTGTGGTTAGTCCGCATCCTATTCTCTTCCCTATCGGTCCTATACGTCCTTCCCTGCTTACTTTGAGTTTGTTTGTTAATACGTGCGCTGAGACTGACGATTGTGCTTACTGCGCATGTTCACCAGGGGAGGAAGGCAAATCGGACTAGGCAGAAGGTAAGCATGCAAAGTATATTGATTTTTCCACTGGACTTTTTATAACCAAGCTTGCATTTCCATGTAGCAAACTTCGGCCTTCTACTACTTCTTCTTCACCCCCTCCGCTCTCTCTCTCTCTCCCTTCGAGCATAAGAAAATCCCATTTTAAAAATAAAACTCATGTAGTTGCTGGGTCTGCTGCAGCATGAGGCTGCTTATCTCATTTGTAGTAAGTTCCAGTAACTGATTGCTCGTTGCTCTGTTAATGTGGACTGAAGCATGTGGACGGCGGCATAAGCACTAAGCCTACTTTCTCCATGAAGACAGACAGGTGAGCAGCGCGATAAGCAAACTGTGCATGTCTCCCAGTGCACGAACAAAACTCTGATGGCGAGAATGAGCGCGCTTGGTGTGGGCTAGAAGAGCAGAATTTCCGCCTCTCCCCTTCTACGTCAATGAACCACCAGCATCATCCGGAAAGGAAATACGCAGTGTTGGAGACATGATTTATCAACTGCATTCAGTGGTTGCCAGCAACGTTTTGTGAGCGCCGTACGCCGTGTGGAAATTCGCCTTGACCACAACCCACCTGACTGCGTCGGGGTGAAGAGGGGCGCTGATACAAATAAACGGTGCAATTATCTGTTCATGACAGTGTAAGGTTCCACTTTCTAGAAGAACAGACAGCGCCCCTGAAGAGGTGAACGGATTCTCTCGTGTTTCATTCTTAAGGTGTGGTCATCCTGAATACGGGTTAGTTTCACCTCCTAGCCTAGAAAACTGAGAAAATTTTCCCTCACATATGATAGCACTGTAGGCTTCACCATTTGGGAATCACCACCTTATGTAAATGTTGCCTTACAGTGAAAACTTAATTTGAAAGTATTCCATTCATGAATGAATATGGATCGCTTTTGTACCTCCAGTCAGGACAGATGAATAGGGATATCGCGTCGTAAATTTGGCCTTGCGCTAAATTCCAAGGATATTAGGGACTAGGTAAAGGCTAGGATTATTTAATGTTAGGCTAAGAGTTAGGTATAGTGTAAGTATAAGGCTATGATTAAGGTTTTCGTTCAGGATACTGTTACGACGGAGAGTAAGCAGCCTTTCTGCAATGCAGCACAGTGCCACCTATACTACTGAGGGCACACGCAACCGATTGCAGTCAACAAATGGAAGTGTGCATCCAGATAACTACACACACCAAAAGCGAGAGCAACCAATAATTTATCGAAGCAGGGGGTCTCGAGTTGGAACTTAGTAAATCGATCTGACGCCCACATGCAGAGTCCTGCACAGTCACCTCCAGACCTCTATAACTCGCCTTTGAGTAAACGAAAAGACTGATCGAGAACCGGAGTAGTTTGCTTATTATTCTGAAATTTCAGACTACCACAGGAGTTCATCATGAGAAATAACAGCAGAAATAAAAAAGACGACAACTATCGTGGGTTTAGGCCAATCAACTATCAGTGACGCAAGTCTGGGCATGACTGCACAGAGCTCTGTAAACCGCTGCAAAATCGATACATCAATTGATTGAGTTCCTATCCGTGGACCAGACTTCAATCAATTCGCGGCTCGTCTTGTTTCCGGTCTGGGCGAGTGTCTTGACGGCGTATTCCAGACTAAAAGGTACGCTTGGCTCGATGTTTCCGTGAACAATTTATGCGGAATGGATATCCAAAGGCTTTAATGAACCGATGCCTATGCGTTCGGTCTCAGAGGACCCAAACAGAAGTGTCATCAAGGAAATATCACGCTCGGTCGTACATCAGAAATGTCTCAGAAGCGACCGGCCGCATCATTGCGGCACGAGGTTTTGTAACTGCACACCGACCCCAAGTTAGCATGCGCGGCAGGGTGATGAAAATTAAAGACCGGCTAAATCCCAAAGAGCAATCCGGGGTAGTGTATTGCATTCCCTGCCTTAGCTGTCTTTATAATTACACAGGCCAAACTGAACGCACGCTCGGATCGCATATACATGAATATAAGCTGGCTGTGCAACGGGGCGACCAACTATTGCAAGTTGCTGTTCACACCTACGAAACGGACCGTGATTTTAACTTCGCAGCCCTCAAGATATTCGTCCAGGCCGGAAGCAAGAAGAGCCGAGAATTGATTGAAGCCTGGCGCACGGAGGTGAACTAATCAATTAGTGTATCGATTTAGTGGCGGTTTACAGTGGCCGGCGCAGTCACCTCAAGATGTATTTGACGGCTAGTTGATTGATTTGCACCCGCTATAGTTGTCGCCATATTATATGTGCTGTTATCTCTCATAATGAACTCTTGTACGATTTTGCGGTTTCAGAACAATAAGCAAACTGTTCCGATGCTTGACTACCCTTCTTTTTTACTCATGCAAACACCTGGAAAGCGAAACTTCACATTTATTCACAAAGGTTTGCCTGATCTTTACCCTCCTTTTAGGATGGACGCCTGCGTGAGTTTGAAACTTCAGAAGGTTAAGACAATTTGTTCAGTTCCCGATTAGTCCTCTTCCTGCCTATTAATATTCTATTAAAATACCTTATCTAGGTTTTCGCTTTTTCTTTAATTAACGTTCTTCCCGTTTCTCGCCTACTTTCTCCCGGGATTTAGCTCTGAATCTCCTGAAGGATGGGGAACAATTAGAATGAAGGACCGACCTCCTTGTGGCGAAGAATGTTGTCCTAGTAATTCAAAGGGAAAAATAGTTTTTTTTATACTCACCCTTATCGTAGCTGATCGATGTTCCTCCTTGCTGATTTCACAAGTAAATGTTGCATCACTGCCTCGCTCCACTGTTGCAGTGATATTATGGGCTCCCTGTATAATATCCCCCTCAGAACGGGCTGTAAGAGGAAGGAAATGGTTATTTTTCCCAGGGCATACAAAAGCCAAAATATGCGAACTGAGTCTACCTACGTGCGTTGGAATGCGGGAAGCAGATTAAATGGCCGGGTATTTAAATATAGTGGCGGCTGTGGGGACGACTAGGTCTTGTCAAGCAGAAGTGCGGTTTTCTAAACATGCAATACTAGGGCCAGC